TATATAACTTATATATCTCTGGCCTATTGACCAATCAAAACTATAGAAAATCATGTGATCAAATCATGTGACAACACAGCACTATATGCAATATTTCCGAGATTAGATCGGAAAATCAAATCGGAAAATCAGACTAGAACTATAATTTATTTAAAAATTTTGACTTGTAAATTAAACAAAATACAATACAAAGATTATAAAGTTTTTATTCTTAATAACCTAACATGAAAATGAACTTGTTCTAACCAACATTAAAAAGTTGCTTAAAAAATTAAAATTTACAATATAAACGATTTAGTTGGGACAGTCACGATTTCTTGTGATTTGCCATACCTGACTATTGTGCCAACGAAAGTGAATTAGACAAGATTATGTTGGTTTTGTATTAGAATGATCATGATTCTATATTGATTTGCATACTTACCAACTATTGTAGCAATATAAGTTGCCGACTATTAGATAATACAAGCGATTAGGTAGGGTTAGTTAGTTTGAAATGATCATGATTCTATATCAATTTGCTGTAAAAAATTCTTACCTACTATTGTAGCAACGTAAGTGATATTATGTTAGTTTTGTGTTGGAATAACATGATTTCTGTAGTGATTGCTATAAGAAAATTTTGTTACTGCATTAGCTGACTATTAGATGATACAAGCGATTAGGTAGATTGGTTAGTTTTGAAACAATCATGATTCTTATATCGATTTGCTGTAAAAAATTCTTACCCACTATTGTAGCAATGTAAGTGATATTATGTTAGTTTGAGTTGGAATAACATGATTTCTGTAATGATTGCTATAAGAAAATTTTGTTATCGTATTTGCTGACTATTGATGATAAAAGTGATTAGGTAGAGTTGGTTAGTTTTGAAACGATCATGATTCTTATATCAATTTGCTGTAAAAAATTCTTACCCACTATTGTAGCAAAGTAAGTGATATTATATTAGTTGTGTTGGAATAACATGATTTCTGTAGTGATTGCTATAAGAAAATTTTGTTACTGTATTTGCCAACTATTGATGATACAAGCGATTAGGTAGGGTTGGTTAGTTTTGAAATGATTATGATTCTATATCGATTTGCTGTAAAAAATTCTTACCCATTATTGTAGCAATGTAAGTGATATTATGTTAGTTTTTTGAGTTAAAATAACATGATTTCTGTAGTAATTGCTATAAGAAAATTTTGTTATCACATTAGCTGACTATTAGATGATACAAGTGATTAGGTAGGGTTGGTTAGTTTTGAAACAATCATGATTCTTATATCGATTTGCTGTAAAAAATTCTTACCCACTATTGTAACAATATAAGTGATATTATATTAGTTTTGAGTTGGAATAATATGATTTTTGTAGTGATTGCTATAAGAAAATTTTGTTACTGTATTTGCCGACTATTGATGATACAAGCGATTAGGTAGAGTTGGTTAGTTTTGAAACGATCATGATTCTATATCGATTTGCTGTAAAAAATTTTTACCCACTATTGTAGCAACATAAGTGATATTATGTTAGTTTTGAGTTAAAATAACATGATTTCTATAGTGATTGCTATAAGAAAATTTTGTTACTACATTTGCCGACTATTGATGATACAAGTAATTAAGTAGGGTTAGTTAGTTTTAAAACAATTGTGATTCTTATATCAATTTGCTGTAAAAAATTCTTACCTACTATTGTAACAACGTAAGTGATATTATATTAGTTTTGTGTTGGAATAACATGATTTCTGTAGTGATTGCTATAAGAAAATTTTGTTACCGTATTTGCCAACTATTAATGATACAAGCGATTAGGTAGAGTTGGTTAGTTTTGAAACAATCGTGATTCTTATATCAATTTGCTGTAAAAAATTCTTATCTACTATTGTAGCAAACTAAGTGATATTATGTTAGTTGTGTTGAAATAACATGATTTCTGTAGTGATTGCTATAAGAAAATTTTGTTACTGTATTTGCTGACTATTGATGATACAAGCGATTAGGTAGGGTTGGTTAGTTTTGAAATGATCGTGATTCTATATTGATTTGCTGTAAAAAATTCTTACCTACTATTGTAGCAACGTAAGTGATATTATGTTAGTTTTTTGAGTTGGAATAACATGATTTCTGTAGTGATTGCTATAAGAAAATTTTGTTACTGCATTAGCTGACTATTAGATGATACAAGCGATTAGGTAGGGTTAGTTAGTTTTGAAACAATCGTGATTCTTATATCGATTTGCTGTAAAAAATTCTTACCTACTATTGTAACAATATAAGTGATATTATGTTAGTTTTGTGTTAGAATAACATGATTTCTGTAGTAATTACTATAAGAAAATTTTGTTATCGTATTTGCCGACTATTGATAATACAAGTGATTAGGTAGGGTTGATTAGTTTTGAAACAATCGTGATTCTATATTGATTTGTTGTAAAAAATTCTTACCCACTATTGTAGTAACGTAAGTGATATTATGTTAGTTTTGAGTTGGAATAACATGATTTCTATAGTGATTGCTATAAGAAAATTTTGTTACTGCATTTGCCAACTATTGATGATACAAGCGATTAGGTAGGGTTGATTAGTTTTGAAACAATCGTGATTCTTATATCGATTTGCTGTAAAAAATTCTTACCCACTATTGTAACAATGTAAGTGATATTATGTTAGTTTTGTGTTGGAATAATATGATTTCTGTAGTGATTGCTATAAGAAAATTTTGTAACGTATTTGCCGACTATTGATGATACAAGCGATTAGGTAAGGTTGGTTAGTTTTGAAATAATCGTGATTCTATATCGATTTGCTGTAAAAAATTTTTACCCACTATTGTAGCAACATAAGTGATATTATGTTAGTTTTTTTGAGTCAGAATAACATAATTTCTGTAGTGATTGCTATAAGAAAATTTTGTTATCGCATTAGCTAACTATTAGATGATATAAGCGATTTGGTAAAGTTGGTTAGTTTTGAAACAATCGTAATTCTTATATCGATTTGCTGTAAAAAATTCTTACCCACTATTGTAGCAAAGTAAGTGATATTATGTTAGTTGTGTTGGAATAACATGATTTCTGTAATGATTGCTATAAGAAAATTTTGTTACTGTATTTGCTGACTATTGATGATACAAGTGATTAGGTAGGGTTGGTTAGTTTTGAAACGATCATGATTTTATATCGATTTGCTGTAAAAAATTCTTATCCACTATTGTAGCAATGTAAGTAATATTATATTAGTTTTGTATTGAAATAATATGATTTCTGTAGTGATTGCTATAAGAAAATTTTGTTACCGTATTTGCCGACTATTAGATGATACAAGCGATTAGGTAGGGTTGGTTAGTTTTGAAACAATCGTGATTCTTATATCAATTTGCTGTAAAAAATTCTTACCCCTATTGTAGCAATGTAAGTGATATTATATTAGTTTTGTGTTGGAATAACATGATTTCTGTAGTGATTGCTATAAGAAAATTTTGTTACTATACTTGCCGACTATTAAATGATACAAGTGATTAGATAGGGTTGGTTAGTTTTGAAACGATCATGATTCTATATCGATTTGCTGTAAAAAATTCTTACCTACTATTGTAGCAATGTAAGTGATATTATGTTAGTTTTGTGTTGGAATAGCATGATTTCTGTAGTGATTGCTATAAGAAAAAAGAAAATTCTGTTACTGTATTTGCCGACTATTGTGGTAACATAAGATATTTAGATAGGGTTATGTTGGTTTGAATTGGAATAATCATGATCTCTATAACGATTTACTGTAAAAAAAATTCGTTACCATACTTACTGACTATTGTGGTAATATAAGAATTAAGATAAGACTATGTTAGTTGCAATAATCGTGATTCTATAGCGATTTACTTGTAAAAAATTTTATTATTGTACTTACCAACTATTGTGATAACATAAAATAGTTTATTTTAGATATGGACATGTTAGTTTTTTGTATTAGAATAATCATGATATATATAGTGATTTACATATTGCCATACCTGCCAACCATTGCGATACATAAGTAATTTAGATAAATAGGTGATGCTAGTTTTATACTGGAATAATCGTAAAATTTTATTACTATACTTACTGACTATTGTAATGACAGTTATCATACTTGTGGTAATATAAGCGTAAAAATTATTTTTACGATGGTCTGTTACTATACTTACTTGCTATAGTGATATAGTAGTTTGGATGGTTAGATTTGTCAAAATTTTCAAAAAGCATGAAATCAATTACAAATATAGTGATCTCCACATCAAATATTATTGTTGACCACTGCTTACAGACTTGCTTTTTTAAAATTGAATAGTACCCATGCGTACTCCAGGTACCATATTTGTGGATATACCATATTAAATACAATAAATCAATCTAGTTACTCGGGCCTTATTCAATGAAGAGGAGAATACTGTAAACAGTGGCTAATATAATAATGATTCAAAATGAATAAAGTAAAATCAGCAATGTTTAAAATAACAAAACTGAAGTAAAATTTGAACATGGTCTTAAAACTAAAGTTCCTAAAAGTTTTCATATTTAAATAAAAAAACTGGATTTTGTGCAATTCACTGTTTGATGACATAATTCAAACTTTTATTTCTTTCATTCATAATGCATCACGCATAATAAATCTTTAGAACTAAAAAATTATAAAATACTTTACTAAAATATCATTGCAAGCCGATTAGCTTTCACCTTATAAATAATTAAAAATATGATGGAAAAAAATTTTACCTTAGACATTATTATGAACATGTTTTCGTGACTGGCTTAAGTTAGCATTCTCACTTTGGTTCTGGGAAGAAACTGCTTCAAGATGCTTTTTTGGTCTGCCTCGCTTTCATGGCTGGCTTAAGTTAATATTATCATTTTGGTTCTGGGTCGGGACCACTTCAAGATTTTTTTTTGGTCAGCCTTGCATTTTTACAGGTATATTCTCTTTTTCGCTTCTGATTCTTCCCCTTTTTGGTCATCCACCAGCCTTGCTCTTTATAGGATTGTTGATTATTGGAAGCTCCAGGGATGCTGAAGTAGAACCAAGATCATCGTCAACAGAATATATCGCTTCTAAATACTTCTCGAGGTACAACGTAAAATCTGCACATTTATCAGAGTCCATTGCAATTTTGCTTGCAATTTCCCCTAATAATCACTAGATTCGTATAAACCAGATTCGAGAGTTACCTTCACCAGATGATTTATGCGATGCTAAAATTCCTGAAACTTGTGATTGTAAACAGCTATAAAAATTGACATAGTCTTTTGTAAGCTCCAACTCGGGCAGATCTTTTTGCCATCGTTTTGGAAAGTGAACAGGATCGAGATAAGTGAGAGATAGACAAACTGCAACTGCAAGAGAATGCCAACAAACTATCCCAGCAAACTCAAGATTACAGCAGCAACAAGAAAGTACACGACCATTATAGTAAACCTGACATATAACGTCAGGCCTTTCATAATGTGACAATTTGAAACAATGCACATCATTATAATCAGTTATTTCTTCACACACATATGCATCTTTCGCACTCCACTCAGCCTCAAATTTTTTCTAAGCATACTGTGTCAGACAGCTAGTGGCTTGATTTTCGATAAGGTTTGGAAAAGTCAGGGGGATAAGATAAACAAGCTCCTTGTAGACAGAAATATGCTCAGCCTCTTCACAGAGATCAAGTGCATGTTCAAAGATGGCCAAAAATTCTGTAAGCCTTGTCTTACAATCGATAAACCCTTTTAACAAACTATTCATCGATTCCTCTCTTTGTGTTGACGACATATTAGCGAAAAAGTAATTCTTTAAATATGCCAGGGCCCAACATTCACGCCATTGACTAAGAGCTTCCAGGTACGACTTTGCTTCAGCATAGTTATCATTTTCTATTATAAAATTTCACAGCTCCTCAAACTCGTCTTGATCAATATAATGATTTAGGCATTTCATAAGATCCATGTGAAATATATTATATTTCTTTCCAAGTTTAGAGGTCATATTAGACCTTATATTCTTCAACATGTGCCAGATACAAAGACCATGCTTGGTACCATGCTTATTGGTAAAGACTGAACAGATAGCATCGGACATTGCGAGATTATTATCCATAAGAATAGTATAAGGTGCGGTGCCAAAAATATGAACAAAGGATTCAAAAAGCCACTCAAAACTTGAGGACGTTTTATTCTGAAGTAACACACCAGCAGTACAGTAAGAAAGACCATTATTTGTGACACCTGTAAACACCCCAAAAGGCATCGAGAAATAATTGCTTTTATATGTATTATCGTACATAATTGTATCGTGAAAGTGTATATATTTTCGCTTTTGTGATACATAAACCCAGAGTACATGCTTTAATCGATTGTTATTGTCTAATTCGAATTCATAAGAAAATTCGGGGTCATTATTACATTTTTGTTAAAGGAGAAGAAGAAAATCATAGGCTTGAAATTCACGACGTAATATATGATCAGTATCAATCAGATTATACATGTCTTTCATTATCCACGTCTTCACAGCTGGTCCATATTTTACTGTAAGAAGAGATTGGATTTGTGGTATCGAAATTTCTGCTTTTTTCAAAATAAAAATTTCCTCCTTAATAAATGTTGATATTTCACAGTTGCTAGATGAAATGTGCATAAGTTGGGGTGGAATAAATTAATAATTATGTTGTAGATCAACTTGGAAAATATAATATTTGTCGTCTTCTAGATTATGATTAAGACAAACAGATTAGAAGCAGTTGCATTTTTTTGATACTTTATTTCTGCCTTTCTTGGTCAGATCTTTTCTAGATTTATACACACCAGAGCAATCGCAGGCAAAAACTTGAGTAGTGCGCAAGCCATCGCTACGATTGTTACCCTTTAAGAAAATCACTTTAAATCCACTTGCTTCAGCGTATTGATCAGAAATATATTTAAAGGCCTCAAGAGAGGCATAATCCTGGCTATACTGAAAAAGCGACTCTAATGGGGATTCAGGTTCTAGTGGAGATTCAGGTTCCAGTGGAGATTCAGGTTCCAACGGGGATTCAGATTCCAACAGGGATTCAGGTTCCAACAAGGATTCAGGTTCCAATGAGAATTCAGGTCCCAATAGGGATTCAGGTCCCAACGGGGATTCAGGTCCCAACAGGAATTTAGGTCCCAACAGGAATTCAGGTCTCAACAGGGATTCAGGTTCCAACAGAGACTCAGGTTCCAATGGGGACTCAGGTTCCAATGAGGCTTCAGGTTCTAATAGGGCTTCAGGTTCTAATAGGGCTTCAGGTTCCGATAAAGCTTCGGATTCAGATGAGATTACAAAGTCCAATGTGTACTCAGGTTCTGGTTCTTAAAATATTAATAATGGCTATTAGTCTTTACATAAAACATTGTATACAGTAGAGTTGGCCCTGAAACCACATGATGCTAATTTGTCATATGCTATTACTTATAAAAAATCGATGATCTATTTTGATTTTTATAAGTAATAGCATATGACAAATTAGCATCACGTAGTTTCGGGGCCAACTCTAGTATACAGTGTTGGCATTGGATGTATTTTTTTTTTTTTTTTTTTTTTAAGGTGAAGTCTTGCTTGTATCTTTATTAAGTAATTTATAAAATAGTAACATATG